AGGGCAGGGGCAGAGAGAGAGGGAGACACAGAACCCGAAACGGGCTCCAGGCTCTGAACTGTCAGCACAGAGCCCGACGAGGGGCTCGAACTCATGAGCCATGAGATCGTGACCTGAGCCAGAGTCAGACGCTTAACTAAATGAGCCACCCAGATGCCCCAGTACCACTTTGTTTTAATTATCATAGCTTTAAAATATTCTTTAATGTCTGATAGTTCTAGCTTGTTCTCTTTGTTTAGGCTATTCTGATTCAGTTAGTGCAACGTCTAAACTTTTTTTCTCATGTCAATTTATATGTGCACATAATGCATGGTGATCACGATTTTTAAACTCCAAATCAGGACACATGATTAACACAGGAAAATGTGGTCACCATTCACATCAATATTGTCTCCTCCAAGCACAGGGTTGTGCACGTGGTAGGTGCTTTTTGACTAAAAGGATAAAAGAGGTAGAGACATTTGGTCTGTAATTTCTATGGTAGTTAGTTCTTATATATACAATGCATAAGACAGCTTTCCTTGTTTTGCATGTTAAGAAAAAAATCCAAAGGTGATTTGTTCTCTGTTCTGTTCTTACTGTTCAAGGAGCTCTTAGGTAGCTCCTAGACCAGCTGTGTCACCCACATATTCAATGCAGCCCAATTAGTTACTAAGAGTCACAATGCATTGAATCAGGGTGTGACTAAAGTCAAAGCTGCAGGAAACAGCAGCAATACTAATGAGTATTCAAAGCTGATTAGAATGCAAAAAAATCCTGCTATTCTTTAAGTATCAGCCATAATATGGAGCAATCAGGTAGCAGCTACTTGAAGCAATTGCTTGAGAGTGATTTTTTTTTTTGAGTGGGAAAATTCCTTAAGAATTACATTTTAAAAATGAGGACCATTTTTTCCCCAAAAGGTTCAATTGGCACTTTCTGATTTAATTGAAGCGCGCACACACACACACACACATGCACAAATAAGTATGCAAATATTAATCATTAGTTATATTCAACTAAATGACTCCAGTAATTCTGGATAGCTGGAAAGCTGAAATCACCAAATGAAGGACATTTAACGTATTCTTATGGATAATATTTTAGCAGCATAAGAATGAAATTATTGTCCAAAATCTCAGTCATGGGGCTTTCAGAGGTTATTTAATCCATCTTTCCATCTCAAGGTAGAACCAAATCTATATTTATCATCAATATCATCTTAATCCTACTAAAGGAGAAAAAATGGTAATTGGAACTGCTACTCCCTAAAGAAACAATCATAAAAATACACTGAACTCATATCAGGGTTGTTGATTTTTGATTCCCACATTAGATACACAGTTTTAAAGGAATGTTCAGAGGTCAATAGATATTTAGCAAAATCTTCTATACTTTTTGTGTCTATATATACCACAGATACTAAGAATTGATAGTCCATTAATTCATTAATGTTTAATCGATTCATTCATTAAACATTTTTGGCTGCCTCAAGGTGACCTTGAGGCCCTAAAAATGCTTGACAATTAAATATTCAATTATTTTTATCAAACTGTACTTTATTAAGGCAGGAAACTTATTTTGGCTCAACCCGGAGTTAGAAATTATAATCATATAGGTTGTTAAAGTATTTTCTGAGCATAAACCTTTCAATCAATATATCAACTGAGAAATCTCTATTACGACCTCAAATCCTTTTTGGAATGCCCACCATAGTTTATACCTGGCTCTATCATTTCCTTGTTATATGATCTTGAGCAACTTATTTAACTTCTCTGTGCCTCGGTTTCCTAATTTGTAAAGCAGTATATTAATAGTAGTTCCTGCCTCATGGGGATTAAATGAAACAGTTCACATAAAGGACTCAGCACTGTGCCTTGTACATAGGAAATCCTAAATACAAGTAAGCTAATATTATTAGTGATTATATTGGGCATATAACTATAGATTCTGGGTCATGCTTAACATGTAACAAGAAAACCATACAGACAATATAGTTAAGTGCTTGATGGTATGGTGCATCTGATAAACCCCATGAAAGACTGGGATGGTGGATGTCAGAGGTTCCATGGGAGATATGGCTTTAGCTGGGATTTAAATGATAGAGAATGACAGGTGTCAAGGAAAAGGCACACCAGGTAAAGGGGCATATAACGAAAACGAAGTAAAGGAAGGTGAAGATGAATCTTGGAGGACCATAAATGTCCAGGAAATAGTTGATCCGTACACCATTTAATTGAAAATCTCACTCTGGCTTCCCAAATAAAATTTTCAATTTAGATAGGTAGCAAGCAGTCTCTTCAGAAAATGGCTGTTACCCTAAGTGTAACGTATGTGTATGTGTGTGTGTGTGTGTGTGTGAGGGGAAGAGTGGCATAGGCTATCACCTTTTAAGGAGTCCACGTGAATTGTCCATTTAATACTTATAATAACCCTATTTGAGGGTTAATATTATTATCAGCCCCATTTTTGAGATAAGGAGATTAAAGCTCAGAGATCTCAAGAAACTTTTCCCAAATCGTACAGCCAGTAAGTACATAGCAGCCAGAAAGTCTAACTTCAAAGCTCTGTTCTCTTAAACACAAAGTTGCTTCCGCTTAAAATTCATAAGGTCTTATAATTTTTTAAGGTAAATTGCTAGCCAGAACTAGTCAAGGGGGAAGCTCTTACACCCAGTGTGTGCTTAAACTATGATTGCTAGCTTATTGACTTAAGCCTCATGTTTGGGTTCAGATGACAAGGTTTATAATTGTCTAAGCAAATATAGAAACCTGAGGAGTCAAATTTAATGATCTACTTCATTTTAAGCTAATAGGTGGAAACTAGAAATAAAACCTTTTTTTTTTTTTTTTAGAAATAAAGCTTTTTATTAACTTCATGTTTCCTTGAGTAGACAGAAAGAGGAAAGTGAGGATTTGTTGTTTTAGCTTCATTCAGAGGTGATTTGGGCTGTTTTGAGGTCTGACTGAACAATGTATTGGATGCTTTTGTTTGCTTGACTGAAAAAGGAGTGTTACCCGGAGACCTTGGAGCCAATATGGCTTTTGAAAATATCATGTGCAGCTCTTGAATTAAATATAATTATTCTACTGTGCATTGTCTTGGATGCTGTGTCCTTTGAAAGATACAAAGCATTACTAAGAGGTAGAGACATAAGAGTTTGTTCTCGACAACTAAGAACAAAGAAAATTATTTCACAGTGTGTACAATGCAAGCTACACTAGCATCTGACAGTACGAACAGGGGTACAAAGATTTCATTTGCTATAATAGATGCCACAGAGATGGGAGGCAGCATGGCTACTGTAGTTAAGAAAACAGACTCTAAAGTCATAGAGACCTGAACTGGAACCTGGGTTCTGTGACTTTCTAGCTGTGTGACCTTGGAAAAGTCACATACTCTTCCACTCTAAGTATTAGTTTTCCCATCTATAAGTAGGGAAAGTAATGCCTATACCTCATGGCATTGCTGTGAGAATTAAATGAGATATAATGCAAGCAGAGTTTGCAATGTTGCTTGATCATAGTAAGTATTCAATACACCAAGATTTAAAAAAAAAATAGCATGACCATCTATAATCAATATTGTTTATATGAAGGATTCCCGATTTTCACTCTTAGCCAGATTGGTCATCACATCGCTTCTAATATTTACATTTCATGAAGAACTCACCTCCATCATTGTCCAAGTTATCTCCACAAAGCATTTCCATGACAACATTGCAGCCTGTGCCACTCCAACCCACCTGACACACACAGTGCCAACCATTTTGATCCAGGGTACATCGTCCATTTCCAAAGCAGAGCCCTGGGCAGCCATCTGGAAAGACAGCAGAGAATAACAATCATGGAGGCACTGGCATGGGATTGGCCAACAATGATGTCTCTACCTATAGGAAAATATCTAATCATCTGGGCTCCATTCAGATAAGGTGTTGAATAAATGGAAGAGGAGCTCGCTGGCTTATAAAACCTTCCCAGGGAACTTGTTATCCCTCACTCTGCTGTGCTTTTCCTCAGAGAGCCAATTAAGCCTTATTAATGCTAACCCCAATTCCCACCCTCTGTTTTACATGGGATGAAAACTATGATGGGGACAAAAAATGTGGGGTTTTTTTTGTTGTTTTCTTTTCAAAAAAAGTATCTTCTCAGCTCAATCAAAACCAGATGGACGATACTGTACCTAGTTATGGCCAATAAGCTAGGGAAAGACAACAGTTTCTACGAAAAGAAGCTTCCCCTACCTACTTCTCATCTGTACTGATTTTTCCCTTGTGATACACTGCTTCAGGACTTAGGTGCATGGCTACACAGTTCAGACCACACCATTAAATATTTGCCCGTAGAATACCTTAGAAATGTGCTGCAGTTGCTTTGCATTTATTCAGCTATTTTCTTTAAGATTGTTATTGATCTGAGGACTAAGGATTAAATTTTTACTTATCTGGTATCTCGCTCAGAAGCTAGCATAATATTAAGCCTGCAGTAAGTGCTCAACAAACGTTTATCGAACTAATGAATGCCAAATTGAGACTTTCAGGATTCTAGAGAATAACTGGATAAATAGAGGAAATTGTTGAGCTCAAATGACTTCCATCCATTGATAAACCACAAACACTAACAACGGTCTCCATTTAGACTCTGAATTTCTCAGGGATGCCCTACTCTTTCTACCAACAGTTCCGAGTTCAGCTATTCCAAAGGGCAGCCGTGTATGCGTCAAGCGCTCAGTGGACGGATGAACGGAGATGGCAATAATGGCACATAGCTGCTGGACATTTTCCCAGTAGCAGCACAAGACCAGATCTGAATTTTACTGGAGAGAGTCCAATCAATAGTCTTTTCATTTGCTGTCTTTGATAGAAGAGTCCAGAAGTATGAAGAGCAAAATAAGTTTTGAAAAATCTGCAGATATAACCCAGTGTTCCTTCCAAATGGTTTTCTAAGTAACTATCAACAGACCAGATGAAGAAAAAACTTAAAAATAAAATGACAGATGGCTGTTAGAAAATATGAAAAGACTCTCTCTCATTATATACATACATATTAAATATATATATATATATATATATATATATATATATATGTTTCTCAAGGAGTGGTATATGGGATGAATATATACAGGTTTAAGAAAAGAATTCATCCAGTTCCATTGTCATGGATGTACAATGGATAAAGAGAAATCAGGGGTAATTTGGAAAATATTCGACCTTCTGAGGTGGAGGTAATGAAAGGCACCAGGGTATCTGACAGAAAGCCCCTGACTGTCTCTATCAAAGGCAGATCCTTGGGGGATGCATGAGGGGTTACTTATAACAGGATGACTCTTCTGTCCTTGAAAGGATACTGTACATGGACTTAGAGTCCTATTGTTATGTCAAAGAAAATGTTCAGCTGTCTACCCAAACCTAGTTCGTTATAACTAATTACCTGTGTTGTACACAAAGACATATGCACACACACACACACACACGCACCAAACTCCATAGAAAGCCAAGGAAAAACAGTTCTTAAAACTGCTTTCCAATCTATTATACCCAATGGCAAAAGACAGCTCTTTGACGTTAGAAAAACAAATTACTTTTCAGTCCGACTATTAGAGCAGGAACCTGACACTATCACACTTCAGGAAGCCTGCCAAAAGTAAATACACAAACCCAACCAACCAGCCAACCAACCAACCAACACAAAACCCCACCCACCCTGCCTTTACCACATGCATATTTTCTGTTCATGGTATTTTTCTGTTATAAAATGAGTGAGGAAAATCTTACCTCGGACAGCATCTAAGTAGTGAGCTGAAAGGGGGAGGAAAAGAGCGATTGAATGAATTTCCGGGAGACCACAGCTATACAACATGTATTAATGGTTTGCCATCTGTTGCCTGGGAGTGGAACAGCAAACTGTGAACTGCCGAAATGCCTACAGCTCGCAAGTTGGTACATGGGCCTGTGTAGTTTGTGAATAATATTTTCTGTGGGAAAGATATTAATGGCTTTTCTGCAACAAATTCTATGAGGTTTCCTAAAAAAAAGTGTCACATTTCATTAAAAGTATGAGAGCTGCATTTTTACATTTCAGTAATAACTTTCGTGAAAAAAGCACTAGCTTGAACTTCTTATTAGTAATATCTTGAGAAGGGAGTTCTGGAGTAACCACCTTCGGTAATCATCACAATATTTAAATCCTCTTACGTGAAGGCAATAAACTTACTGTAGAGCAGGAATGTAATTACTTAAGCTGCATCAGAATCTCACCCCTCACCACCTTTTTAATGAATCTACAATATTTTCCACAGTCATAGAACAAGACTTACTGTACCTTCAGTAGAGTAGTAATGCAGTTTATTAAGATTATGTGTTATATATATTATACATTACTCTGGCAGTTTCCAACCATTATAACAAAATACTTTCACCTAAAAATGAAAGCTGTGTTACAGCCTGGGGCGGGGTGGGGGGGGGGCGGTGGGGTAGGAAAAGCCCACAAACAGTGAATTGGGTATCCAGGCCTTTGCTCTGCATGAATTTTCTGTGTGCTCGTGGAATGCCACCGGAACACTCAGTGACCCACTTTCCTTAGCTGAACAATGGGAGTCGTATCGGTCCGTCTGTACGTGCAGGAGGCCTTTGTGGCAGATACACATACGTGCCAAGGACTTTGATTTTTTCTTGAAAAAAAAAATAAAAGTGCTTTCAAACTGAAACTTTAGTTATTATTGCTATTTTTTATAATGTGAAGACCACGTGATAGATTTGTTACATAGGCTTTCTCACACCCACAGACTGTTCTCCCAGGCACCATCCTGAACATCAGTGCAATTGGTGACAAGGGATGGGAGAGGGTGGATGCCTCGGCCCAAAGGTTCTACGCCACCCGATAAACAGTGCAACACAGATGTTCTGTTGATGGTAGGTCAGGAATGTCTTCCTCATATACATTAAAGACAGCTCCTAATGATATCGAATGGCCCCTGTTAAAGCACTCCCATTTAATGAAATTGCCTCTACATGCTTTCAACTGAAACAACCTATACTTTTCAAAAGGAAAAATGGGCAGTGAATATTACGTTCACAACAAAAGCACTTCTCTTATTAACTAATGACACTTTATTCCAATGTATCATCTTTCATTTGAGTAACTCAAAGCACTAGAAAACAGAAACTCTAAGGAATACTGAAGTCATGGGAAACCAGGAAAACTCCCAGTTAACCAACCTTTCAAACTTGTGGCTCTCCCTCCTCCCCTTTCTCACCTCCAACCTCAAGTTCTATGAAAAGCCTGGTGACTGATCACTAAACTGCTTTTCCTTCTTCAGTTAATACAATGTACTTTTGCGCATTATGGCGGTACTTACCAATGGTGCAGTGGTCGCCCTCCCATCCAGGGCTACACTCACATTTTCCATCTTTGCACTGGCCATGCTCAGCACAGTGAGAATGACAGGAGCGTTCTTCACATGTGGGTCCTACCCAGCCTTCTTCACACTGGCAAATTCCCCTTGAGCAGACTCCGTGGCTACCACACTCCATGGTACAGAGCTCTGTGGGAGATTCAAGGAAGATACATTTACATATTGTATTAAAACCAGAGTCTACTCTTCCCAAAAGACATTAGAATTACCAAAAGTCCCACTCTACATTTATATTTTAAATATATAAACTAAATGTCACGGGGCACCTGGGTGGCTCAGTCATTTGAGCGTCCCACCTCGGCTCAGGTCATGATCTCATGGTTTGTGAGTTCGAGCCCCATGTCGGGCTCTGTGCTGACAGCTCGGAGCCTGGAGCCTGCTTCGGATTCTGTGTCTCCCTCTCTCTCTGCCCCTCCCCCACTCATACTCTCTGTGTGTGTGTGTGTGTGTGTGTGTGTGTGTGTGTGTCTCTCTCTCTCAAAGATAAACATTAAAAAATTCAAAAAAAAGTCACAAAGACCTCTAGCATTTGAGTGACTGTGCAAGGAACTCTATAAAAAAGATAGTTAAGTCTCTAAGTATAAAATAAACCTGAAGTCAAATTGATTTTGAAAAGTCCATAAAATGATAATGGCATTCAAGGCTTAGAAATGAAGTCAATGCCAAACAAATGTCAAGTGGGTTTCACTAAAAATTCATTAAGATCACAAATAATGTTACAAGGATTTTATGATGCTACAAGCAATCACTGAGGAAAACACATGCACACATGGTAAAATAGTGCTCTAATTTCATTCAGAAAGAGAGGTTCTACAATTGGAAAGAAAGAGCTTTTCTAATAAAATTTATAATATACAAAAGGTAAAGCTGCCAGTGATGGTAATCAACTGGTTTCCCTGAACATACAAACAATAACTGCATTTATTTTAAGCATTTAAAATGAACCCTGGTTGATTAAAATATAGTCTTATCTTGAAATGTCATTCATAATTTGGCCAATATAATCAAGTTGTATACGGCTCTGCTGAGGTTCTCTCTTTGTCCCCTTGACTTGTTTTTGAGAAATGCTGAATATTAATAAAGTCATGACAGTAGAGAAGCTAAAATAAAAGTTTGGCAAACCTTTTTCTTGACCGAATACCCTTGCTGGAGGAGGAAATCGGGGATAAAAGCCTATGGAAAGAATGCGATAGAAGTAACACAACAGGTTTTGGGTACAATTGGCCATATACCCTTGAAAGAAACAGAGAGTGTTCTGGAAGCCAAGTGATCTATCTTTCATAATCTCAAATTCTGAAACTGGTTTCATGTATTAAGAGGTAATGACAAGTGATGGTATACCCTATACTACCTATAACAAGGCTCTTTCTATGTAACAAAATTTTCGACCTACAGATAGTAGTTATTTTTCAGTAGGTGAGAATATTCTTCTGATAAACCCATGGCTATAGATTTTATTACTCTATAAATCAACTTGTTTACTAATTCATTCACAAGTATTCTCTGTGGGTCAAAGTATGATAGAAAGAATAGTGGACATGAGGTAAGGATTCCTCTGCTTAAAGGTTTGTACCCTTAGGAAAATTGCTAACATGTTCTCTTAATCTCTGCACGTTTTACTACACAATGGAAGTAATGATTACATCTCACATGGTTATTGGACAGATTTGAGACATATTTTGGAGGTAGAACCCATAGAAGTTCCTCAAGACTAGATATGGGAATTGAAGGAAAGGGAAAAATGAAAGTTTTGGCTTAAACAAGTAGGTGGATACTGCTGCCATTACTGAAATGGGAAAGGTTAAGGGAAGAATAAGGATAGAAGATCAAACATTAACCTTGAGATAATGTATAGACAGCCAAGTGAACTTGACAGGCCAGGCAGGGCTGGAGATACGAAATTGGCAATCATTAGCACAAAGGTGGTATGTAAAGGCATGGGACTAGATGATATCCCCAAGGAGGGAAGATAGACAACTCCTGAAATGAGCCCTAAGGTATCTCATGATTAAAAGATAAGGTTATAAAAAGAGGAGCCATCAAAAGGAGACCGGCAAGGAGAGGTAGGTAGTGAGCGATAGGAGGAAATCCAGGAGATTGTGGCCTAACTAAAGCCAAAAGAGGACCTTTTTTCAAGAAGAGAGTAGCTAGCAGTATACTATTACTGAGAAGTCAAGTGAGATTTAGGCAGAGAAGTGCCACTGAATTTTTCAACATGGAAGTTGGTGGCTTTAGGAAGAGCTATACTGATTAAGTAGCGGCCGGTAAAGTCAGATTTGAATGGGTAGAAGAGTGGATGGAAAACTGTGTGTGGGATCACCAGATTGTAAGAAAAGTATAGAATCCAGAAAATACAAAAAGGGGAGGGTTGCCTAATAAATGGTAATTCAAGTAGGTTGATCTTGAAATAGCACCTACTCTCTATATTTTGGTTCTGAATCTCTAACTGATAACCTGGATTCATAATTTCAGTTCTTGTAGTGAATCTGAGATTGTAATTATGCTCCTTTAATGGCCTCCCCCAAGGCAGAACTGAAAGGGCCTTTGTAAGATTAGGGAGCTAAACTGGTCAAAGCCAATCAAGTCAGAGCTAACAGAAACAGTAAGAGGCAAATGTTTTGTATACATTGTTTTATATAACTATAAATTTTAGGCATAGAAAAATATACCATTCTGGTGATTTCCTGAAAAGTAAGAGGACTAGATGAATAGTATCAGCAAAATGGCAGATTAGGCTATCCTTAAATCATCTCAATATAAACCTTAGAAACGTTGACAATAATGTAGTAATTTAAAAAAAAATTACATGTCTTGGCTCACAATAAAACAGAATTATCAAATGTCAGAAGCAAAGAGGGTGCTAACAGCCAAAGAAGTCAGCGTATAAGTCAATCTTCTGGGCAGCTTTGAGTGGTTATTATACCCAGTAACAACTAGGGGCTTGGGTATTTACTTCCACAGAGGAAAAAGGGATGCGTTTTTTGGCTCATTAAGATGGGGAGTTGGACTAAAACTCCTGCAGAAAGCAGGGACCCTTGAAGGGATGCAATCTCAGTGAGATGGCAACTAATAAACTCTATCCACTCACCCAGAGCGATGGCAAAAAAAGCATTAACGTACTCCTCCTCCTACTAAATTTTGGAGTTAGAAAGCAATATTGAAATAAAATACTACATAATAATAATAATAATAATAATAATAATAATAATATGTGCAATAGGGCTCCCTGAGTGAAATATTTCCAAAACTTTGTACTATTCAGGAATTAAGTAAGATACTCTGTCGAGTATATATATAAATATTTAAAGGTGGAATTGTTTCTAGTAACAGTGACCTAGGTAATTTTTACTATTCTTTCCTGATGCGAACCGGAAAATCTAGACAAAATATATTTAAAAATCTGTTACACATTATTGGGGTTCACAAAAGAGTCAATTATTACTGGGCTACATTCCAGGAAAAAAAGAAAACCGAGAGAGGTGGGTCTGACATTTATGGATGCTTTTCCTCTAGAAGTAGCTGTCAATTCTGGTAGAGGCAGCTGGAAGACTCAGAAACTGAGTAGAGCTTTTGTCAGTCTCATGAGTGCAGAAAAAAATATTTTTTTTTTTTTTTAAATTTTTTTTTTTTTCAACGTTTATTTATTTTTGGGACAGAGAGAGACAGAGCATGAACGGGGGAGGGGCAGAGAGAGAGGGAGACACAGAATCAGAAACAGGCTCCAGGCTCCGAGCCATCAGCCCACAGCCCGACGCGGGGCTCGAACTCACGGACCGCGAGATCGTGACCTGGCTGAAGTCGGACGCTTAACCGACTGCGCCACCCAGGCGCCCCAGAAAAAAATATTTGACTACATAATGGCTAAGAAATTTCTAATACTGAAGATAATATCCAGCCAAATATATGCACCATAATTGAATGAACAAAAAAAGAGAAAAAAACAAATTTATAATCATAGTGAGGGACTTTAACGACCCCCTTTCTCATGAACTGATGATAGAACAAGCAGACAACAAATAAGAAAGGATATGAAATATCTGAGTAGCATGATTAACAAATCTGATCTAATTGCCACATATAGAGCACTGTCATAAATGGCTAAAAGATGCAAATAATTTTCAAGTGCTCACGGAACATTTACAAATATTGACCACATGCTGGGCTATAAAGCAAGTCTCAATGTATTTCAAAGTTCTGCAATTATTTATAGCATGTTTTTTGCCCACTGTGGAATAAGACTTGAAATCAAAATACAAACAAAAAAGATAACTATAAAATGCACATACATTTGGAAATTACAAAATATCCCTCTGAAAAAATGATGGAACAACAACAAAAAAGAGAAATCATCATGGAAAGTAGAAAATACTTTGAAATGAATGAAAATAGAATGCACATCCCAAGATTTGTATAACTCAATCCATGCATATAGGAAAACCCATAAGGTAGAAAGGAAAACCAGCAGAAAACAATGACCCATGCATCCATTCTAAGAAGTTAGAAAAAAAAAAGCAAACTCAAGGAACGTAGAAGACAGAAAATGGTAATTATAAGAGCTGAAATTAATTCAATAGGAACAAACAGAAAGCCAATACTTGAAAATTTGCATAGCCCAAAAAACCCTGATAAACTTCTGATAGGGACTGATCAAGAAGAAAATACAGAAGACCCAAATAACCAATATCATGAATGAAAAAGATGGGATTGCTACTGACTATATAAACATAAAACATTATAAAAGAATATTAAAAACAACTTTTCAATACATTTGAAAATTTCAATGAAATGGACAAATTCCTAGCAAACACAACTTACAATAACAAACATACACACAAAAGGAAACTGAATAGCTTCTATAAAGAACCTGAATCCACAATGAAAAATATTCCCACAAAGAAAATCACAGGCTCAGATGACTTCACTTGTAAATATACCAAACTTTTTTAAGGAAGAAAAGGTGCCAGTCTTGAATAACCATTTCCAAAGAATAGAGGAAACACCACCATATGAGTTATGAGGCCAGCATAACCTTGATATAAAATTCTTACAAGGATATTATAGGAAAAAAATATAGGCCAATCTCACTCATATGAATGCAAAAATCTTTTTTTAAAACAATTTTTTAACCT